TCAGTGAGGGTATTCAAACAATAACCTGAAAATAATAAGTCATCGACCGAGGATGAGCAACAATCCATCGTGTGTTTTCGTGGTGAACCGCCCTCTGCCAACACTTCCCTTGTCACAGTTTAATGTAACTTAAATTCTAGGCAGTCGATTTTTTTCCATCAAAACTGTTACAACACTTACCTATTGGTCCCCGAGATGGGTGTGTGGGTAGTCGCTCTTCCACCAGCCACCAAAACCCGTGCCATAGAACGTGGATGACTCAAACACACAGCAGACCCTGCACGGTCCCACAACAAGGGAATAACAATGAGCTTCACCTTTCGCCATTCTGAACCACCAGACGTGCCGTCTGGTGGTTCAGAATGGCGAAACGATAAGCTTTTCTACTGATCAGCTGACCTCATGATTGTTTTTTATAACCTCAAGCAGGGTGGTAGAGTGGACGATGTCTAATAAGTGAATGATCTACCTTAGTGGAAGACTTTGTTTCATCGGTGAGGTACAGTTGTAGTGGATACTCTTACGCTACACAGTATTCGTCCATGAAAATCTCACCAGCGAATGATTGTTAAAAACTGGAGAATAATTCCTCGAAGATTCGAGACATTTCCTGATCCCGTTCGGTTAAGTTAAACCTACAAATCAGATTCAAGCAGACGTTAATAGACGATTGTCGGTTCTGGGTAAACAAGAAATACACTCTGCCACGATCGTAGAGTGATGCGGTATATATAATTTGTAATAAAAGTATAAAGTCCTGCTATAATAGTCGAGATAAGTTTATTTCTCTTTTAACAGGGCCGTCATTTGCAATAACGTCACCAGTTTCCCTGCAGACGACTTTCTCCAACAAACTCACCGCTGCGCTGCTGCAGTCGGTGGTAGTAGAAAGGACGGCCTCTTCAGGCCCCAAATGCCACGTTCAGGTAAGTTTTAAGGGTGTTTTTTTTTATGGTCTAAGTCATGGACATTTCGTAAATGAAAAAATGTGCCGTGAAGAGCAGCTTCAAACATAGGTTGGATGGTGTTATGAGCGAGAGGGGTTGGGTGTAAATGGGACTGCCCAGTAGGGGCAAAAAACGCTGCAGTTTCCTCCATTCTTATGTTCTTATGGACATAGAAAACTCCCATGTTCACACCAGCTCAGCTGTCATGTATTCTTACCTGGTAGACTTTTTTTCAGTGCATTTACAGAGTGTATCAGTGCTAGATGTAGATATGAGTCAATTTAGAAGTAATGACATTGTCTGGACTTTGTTTTCAGAACGCCTAATACTAAGTAAACATGACAACATAGTGCTATTATTGGTTTGATGATTCACTAATGAACCACTGGGATATATCATTTATATTAATTAATGGGTACAATTTTACCATTCGTATTTGGATGTTTAGATTCGAGATAGGCTATATTGGATAAATTTTAAGTTTTGGTCATCCCTGTACTTAGACATGCAGACTTTGTTTTAAGATGGTTTGCGCTGTGTCGTGAACGATATAGACCTTCATTTCTATCGGAAATCACTAGTTTTGAGTTACTACCACCCCCGTAATCTTATAACTTATAATATAACTTATCATACCTTAACCTAACCTATGACCTGTATTTTCTAATGCGATCGAAAAATGTTTTGCGACAGAAATCCCGTAGAGATAATGTGTCTTATTGTTTAAAGTACTTAATCCCATAGTTAGAATATTAAGGTTCCCCAGATGACCAAAATCAAAATAATACCAATATTGTTTGGAATTCTATGAAATTTGTAGTATGGGCAGCTAATATCCATTGCATTAGTTAATGTGCTTAGTAATATTTATATATTCAATATAGCATTACTGTGTTGCACAGTAAAGCACAATTAATTATCTAATACTATTTATTTACAGAGCCGATCAGCCGAGAAGGTTGGACAACTACTTCCAGGGTTCACCAAGGCAGATGAAAGAAATGTCTTTATGATTGTAGAGTATTATCAAGAACTCCGCCATCCAGCTATGAAGCACGTTAAATTACATCTGTCATCAGAACATCTCAAGCCCATTCCCTGGCCATGGTCGTCCCTAGTCCTTCCACAACATTAAGTATAGACATCAGTGACGAAAACATACATTTTCCAGACATGAAATAAAGAACAGTGATGAAAACTTTCATGTTGGAGTTATCGGTCTTTTGCATCATTCTGGCACCCAACAAGTATATACACACGATGATACTTGAGCAGTAACTTATTTTAACCTAAAAATAAGGTATGCCTGTGTATATCAACATTGTATATGGCCACAAGTCCTGTATTTCTGCTGATAACAACACATAGACCACAGCTAGCTGCCTCCAGGCTTCGCTCGGCGGCTCCAGCCAACAGAGTTTTTCGCAGTCACGTGACTCTTTAGCAACTTTAACCCTTATTTTTTTTTACACTTTTTGGCCCAATTTATTTTAAAATACCATTACCATAGTGAATTTAAGCATTATCTTTACCCATTGACCTATCATCTTACGAAAAAATTCCAACCGACAACTCGTCCATTGTAGTAGACACAGGGGTCTTGTGCACTAAGTAAACAACACCCTGTCGTTTCTCTGCTTCTTCTGTTGTTTGGTCGAATAAAGATGGGTGATGTCACAGCAGTTAAGAAATTGTGAAACAAAGGATTAAATCTTGAGCACCGGGCATAATTTAAGATTCCCAAGAATATGAATATCAAGATAGAAATAATTCAGTCATCTCCATTAAGTAAATCAATATTTCTGCTGACTGACCTACACAAAATGTATTATGCTGCATATGCTGTACTATACGGACACGTATTATAGAAACGTGTAGGAATTCGTGGTATAATGTTGTCTAGCACTCAGGATGGATGGAAACTCTAAGGTGGTTTTCTTGTATAATATAAGTTATATGATAGACAGTCTGGTGCTGGAGGTGCCGTGTGGTGAGGAGCTGCTCAGTAGAGACGTTCGGTGAGTAGCGTGTTGAAGGAGGTAGATGTGCAGGAGCTTCGTTAGAGAAGATGTTGCCTGTTGCTGGCCTCCTGGTTGAATGAAAGCTGGACAGCGAGGAGCTTGCTGGAGGAGGTGTTGCGTGTTCAGGAAGATGGGCCAGAATGAGAGCTGGTTGGTGAGGAAGCTCAGAGAAGGACAGCTGGTGGGTCGCCATGCTCGCTGGCGGGAGCGAGGACCGCCAGGCAGGCGGAGGAGAGGCGAGGGCCGCCAGGCAGCGGCGGAGGAGGAGGTGTTGCGTGTTGTAGAAGTGAGGCCAGAATGAATCTCAATGGAGAGACAGAGCTTATATACCCAGCAGCCGTGAGTCATCTATGAGTCATGTTGGGAAAACCCGAGAAAGTCGCCGGTCTTTGGTTCCGTTGCTAAGATACGGTAACATCTGGTGTCGCCGCTCGCTTGGTTGCTAGGGAAGATGGTAGCAGCTGGTGACGCCGCTACGCAGTTGTAGGGAGAAGTCCACTACACGTGCCTTTAAATAATTATTAACCGAAAAAACAATTAGTGAGCATATAAGGTTAATTCTTTTCAAATCGAATGAAATAAAATGCACGCCCGCACGGCATCTCTCTGCTTGTGTAAACTTATATTTTTTTTACGGGTTGTATGCCTCTTGACCGAGTTTTAATCATGCCGTCACATAACTTTAACTAATTTTTCCCAAATCGAACATATTGTGGTCATAGAAGCGGGGTCTCACAAGTAGTAATAATAGTTTCCTTTTATGAAACACAGACGGGTGTTGAAGGTCAAGCATGAAAAAAAAAACATGTTTAATCATAGGACCATTTATAAACCGACAACAATTGTGTGGAGTGTAAAGGGGGAAGGGCGCTAAATGCCAATATTGTACTATAAAAAAAACATTCCGATACTGTTAGGACTTATAAATTAAATTATGTTTAAGTTTATTTTCTTAATTTATCCCCAAAGAAATTAGTGGTGTTAAGTGATAAAATTCAGAGAAATCTTTACGAAGATTCTATAACCTAATTGTTGCATCTTGAGTCATATAGCTAGCTTAGGTTTATTACACCCAGAACTTTAAGAAATATTCATCGTATGGCTCCTGGGTCCTGGCTTGCCTAAAAGTGAGTGATCCATCGTTAAATATGTTCTTCAAACTTGATAAAAAAAAAATACCGCGCTTTGAAAATTTAGTAGTTGCCAAGTACTGAACTGTTATTAAATGAAATAGTTTCGCATGGGGTCAGGATGTAGTATTTATTATAAAACACTTACATACAGACAATGACAGTCACACTATCCATTCATTACTTTATTTTGTACTTAAAAAATATTGGTACATTCATTAGAAATAAATGACTGAAAATATAGTCATTCAGCTGGCACCGGTCACATTAACAATAGCCGCTTGTAGCGATTCATCTGTTTTAAATAAATCTATTCAACTTGTTATCGCCTACTCGCTATCATGTACTTATTCCTTTGGATATCTCATGTTTACTCCACCTGACCCTTTAATCACTTCACTTACCATCTCTCATTCCACCAGACTCCTCTCATTCACTCCACTAAAAAGCTCGCTTACTCCACCTGATATCTCTCACACACTCCACCTGATATCTCTCACACACTCCACCTGATATCTCTCACACACTCCACCTGACATCTCTCACACACTCCATCCTGACATCTCTCACACACTCTATCCTGACATCTCTCACACACTCCATCCTGATATCTCTCACACACTCCACCTGACATCTCTCACACACTCCACCTGATATCTCTCACACACTCCACCTGATCTCTCTCACACACTCCACCTGATATCTCTCACACACTCCATCCTGATATCTCTCCACCTGATATCTCTCACACACTCCACCTGATATCTCTCACACACTCCATCCTGACATCTCTCACACACTCCACCTGACATCTCTCACACACCCACCTGATATCTCTCACACACCATCCACACCTCCACCTGACATCTCTCACACACTCCACCTGATATCTCTCTCACACCCCACCTGATCTCTCACACACTCCATCCTGATATCTCACACACTCAAGTAGCTCGGTCTGCATTCATGGACAAACACCGGAAACTAAACTGTTTCTGGCCTCTCTCTCTCTCTCTCTCTCTCACTGCAAATTCTAAAATACAGTTGTCTATATGTGTAATTGTAAGTATGTTTTTTTATAAATGTATGTACAAGTGTGTGTGTGTGTGTGTGTGTGTGTGAGTGAATTCAACTATTCTGAAGTAGGTTGAGGTCTTGCTGGGAGCAAACAACACTCTGGAGAGGTGAGGACGTCCCAGGGGGGTGAGGGCACCCCTAGGGATGTAAGGACGACCCTGAGGAAGTGGGGACTTCCCTGGGGAGGTGAGGACGTCCTTGGAGAGATAGGGGCGTCGTTGAAGACGTAAAGACGTCCCTGGACACAGACAGTCCTAGGTAAAGTAGGGAATGTCCTGGGAGTGCGAGGCGGTAGCGGGTCAAGGGAAAAGCAGGGTGTCGATGAAGAGAATGATGCCATTGGTACAGAGGATGAAGTCGTCGCTGACAGAGGCGTGACGGAGGGAGAGTCGCCCCTGAGAAACCGTGAGGTGAAGGGCGGCGCGCGAGGAGTGGCGGGAACGCAGTAGGGACGTGGACCCCTCCTGCAGCGCCCGCGGCATCACCAAGTCCTCCAGCAGGTGCGTGTTGAGGCTCTGTAAAGAGGGCAAGGTGTCAGGACCTCACCTTACTACACACCTACACTGCTAAAATGGGTACTATACCTACCTGCCACCTAATACGCCTTGCTTACTTGCTTCTTTTTTTTTTACTGAGTATCTATGTATTGTTAAGACACCCATCTATACTTACACTACTAGGACATCCATCCACTACACTCACTCTCACTGCTAGGACACTAGTTCGATACACTTAATATTGCTAGTACTTTATACATACTCGTTGCACCTATAATACCTGAACCCATTAAAATAATGTTCCATTAACTCTATGAATACAACGACTTAACCCCGAGTATAATAATCATTATACTCAGAGAAATGGGTCATCATATTCAAATGGTTAAGACATCATGCTCGAGAGATTAAATCATCGTATATTTGGGGTTAAGAGGGCTGTCATCGCCCTTAAGGAGTTAACTCTCACTATAGTAACCGAACTCATCGAGGATCACATGAGGATTAGGCACCCCAGCTTATTTCACACCTGATTAAACACTACTAGTAGGTAGTAGGCAGCTATCAAATAGGGAGGTATTACCGCCTGGGAAGATATTGGAAACATAATGTGTTGTCTAATGGTAGACCCTGCTGCCATATGGCATCACGAAAATTGTGACCAAGTCCCAGGTTGCTGATCTGTCTTTCTGCCTCAATTACACACAATTGCAGGGTCTCAATTGTTTCTCTTACTTGACAACACAACATACATATATTGTTTCTCACTATTTATTTATTTGTTATTTATTTATAATTCTTTATTATTATTATGATTATTATTAGTGTTATTATTATTATTGTTATCATTATTATTTTATTTTACTTTTCATTATAAATTTGATTTACTATGAATAATTATTTAATTTTCGCCCCCCAGGCCCTGATGTGGTGATGCGGGTCAATGACCTGTGCCCGGGTGGGCTAATCCCCGTAAAAAAAAAAAAAAGTAGCGTTAGGGTGTTGAATCATCATCAGAAATAATCTGGGGTGCCTAAGCTTTACAGACTTCGCGTGATTACTTATAGGCAACACAGAAGCGAGGCCAATCAAACAGAAATTTTAACAAATTAAAAAAATTATTAACTTATATATCGTGATAAAAACAGACGGGCAGGAAGTGGATAAAAATTTATGCATGTGATGAAAAGTGTTTGGTGATATTGGCAGTTAGGAAGAGGAAGACGCATCTGGTTGAGGAGGAGCAGGAAGAAGAAGAGGAGGAAGAGCAGTTAGAAGAAGAGGAGTAGAGGTTCATGGATGATCATGCAGTAGGTGAAGTGCCAGGTTAGAGAGATCTCACCTGGTTAAGGAGACGAGGGTCATTAATAATCCTGTAGTAGGTGAAGGTGTCAGTGGCCCAGGTTTCTATGTCCTCGTCAGGCACCACTAAGAGGGTGTAGGGTCCGGCTCCCTGGCTCAACTCCCGCCACAGCCATATCCCCGCCTGTAAACATTATCATCTCTGTTATAAAACTGACTGTGGCCACATCTCTAATACATTAACAAGACGTAACTAGTATTAGTCCAAGAACCTGTGCTCCACCATGTCTTTATGGAATACTTCTTGTCGTGGCAGTAGAGCAAGAGGAACTAAACACACAATATGCATGAAGAAGCTGTCACGACTCACGTTATCTATATGAAAAAAATTTACATTTTATAAAGAAACAGATCATCTTCCTGCCTCGACGAAATTCTCACCCATCCAATAAAATAATGTTATCTTCAATTTGTGTAAGAGGGCAAAGATGTGTACATATAGAATTAGACTTTATGCTTCATGAAGTAAAAATCTGTTCACACTTCCTAAGTTGTCACATAAACTAACGAAAATCATCAGCTTTTCTATGTCCATATCCATAAGAAACCTAAATATGGTTACAATTCCTTGACATTGATAGTGTAGTTAATCTGAGACCTTGGTGATGCAATGCTTTATACCAAATTCATATAGCACTCCAGTCACATTTGTTTAAGCTATTACACAAAGAAGCGTCACAGACAGATGGAGGCTTTCCGCTATATACCCTCACTCTGCTGCTGGTAGGGATAAAAGGGTTCTAGTTGAATCACAGATAACAGACATATATATCCTGAGATAAAACCTTATTATCACATTTGTGTTATCTGCTTCACTAGCAGATACTAAGTGATAAAAATTTACTCCTAGTTGACAGCAGTTTCAACAATGAACAAATACCAAATTATGAATTATAGTGGAGTGCGTGAGTGTTCACCAGCTCGCGATAACATACAGAAGTGAAATAGATACTGATATAGATAGGCCTCGGTTCTTGACGAGATGCAGAAAATTCTATCAATGACAGACCCCCTGGAAGATTTTTCATAGCCTTTTCCTTGAAAAAGTTTGAAAATGTCAAGACAACTTAAAAAAAAAATACTTACATTTACTGCCTTTGACTTTATAGACATTAAGAAACTTGTACAATAATGCTTTTCGAGGCGCCAACACTCAAGGCTCAAGTCCGACCATAAATTTGTAAATTATTGCCCTCATATCAACACATCTTTGCGAGTGCTGGGCAATAGATAGGACCAGTCTGGTGGTGGGTATGGGTGGGGAAAGGTAGACGAAGGAGACAATACCTGGGTGACAAGGGCGGTGAACCTGGAAAGCGAGGGCGTGAGAGCGAGGGCACGGGCCAGGGAGAGGGTGGGCGGGGTCAAGAGTGAGTCCAGGATGTGAACATAGCCGTTGAAGGCAAAGTGGTCGCCGCTCACCACCACCCCGGCCTCAACACTCATAATCTGACACACACAAACGCAACAATAAAACTTCATGAATACAAAACAACATTCATCATCTGTAATAAAAACAAAGCTGTATTTTTCTTACATGATAAAGTACAGTACCACCAAAACTAGCAAACTGAAACATCTAAAACACACTGAAGTCCGCAGAAACATCATAAAATAATATAATAACTATGCTCAATACCTTTACCATATACTGTACTGTAGAATGAATCATAGAGAGCAGATTTTATTCCAAATATTGCAATGTGCATTATAAAGAGAAACTAGCACAATGTGGCACAATGATTAGTAAGCACTAGAGATACTTATAGTAAATAAAATAACTATTACAGTAAGGTAAAACACAGATGGGTAGATAAATACGTATGGATAATTATTCAGTAAAATTCATACTAGTTTAAGTTACTGAAGTTCAACAAGTGTATACATAGACCGTGCAGATATGGTGGAAAATAGCAAACGATTTATATTAACGGATAGCCTAAGGACGTTATTAGAAGTTTCTCTCCATTGAGGTTAAAGTGTACGAGTTTACAGTACTTGTGGGGTCCACAAAACACACGTACAGTGTCGGACAATTTAGAGACAAGTTCAAAATAAACACACACAACCATCACTTTAGGATAGTGTTTCGGAAAGATTTTGCATTGAGGACGGAATAGATTGTGGGAACTATGCTCAAAAAATACACAAGCAGAGCACTATATAAACGAGGGATGTATGTGAGGTGCAGAAATTTACAGGGAGATTCTTTGTTAAGTCCTTAACATGGCTACCATGAATGTCCAAAAACGTTGCACCAAAAGTAAATCCCACAAATTCCTCCTCACCAAATGAAGGCAATCAGTGAGTGAGACAGATGATAGAGAAAGTAAGTTAAGACAAGTTACCCCTCAAACATGCCAGAAAACTTAATTCTGTGGTATGATCTAAGAAAACATCATGAGGGGTAACTACGACAAGTCCTCCCCGTGGCGAGTTAAGTCTGGATATCTCGGCTCTTTAATTGCAATTAATATCTTCATTCATGATCAATTTACAATTGTTTTGACGACCTCAACTGAATTCTCATCAGAAACTTGAAACAACACGGGCGAGAGTAAACTATAGGTGTATTAAGACACGTGTTGTGGGGTTCTAGAACAACTGTCCTCCCCCAGTGTAGGTAGACAACAATAGTAAATAGTATGCTTTGTAAATCTACAGGAATACAAGTTATTTCATTTATTTTTAAACTAACAAACATTATATTGTTCATGGACCATCCGAAGCTGACGAGTCACTTTAGCAACACAACTCCCTTCTCTCGTTGTAGCTTTTCTGTTATTTCTTTTTTTTTTTTCGTTTTAGTTTGGAATTGATAACATTATTGGTTTTCACGTGGGCAGATAACCTGTTCCAGGGTGTTATAGCTGAGACCGAACACCAGGTACTATATAAAATTGTATCAACTTCCTCTAATTCCCTGCCGGTTCATTTCCCTATCCTAACCTAACCTAATACCCTGTCGGTTCATATCCTTAATCCTTATAAAGTTGGTGTTAATTTTTTTTTGGAGATGTGCATTTTGTGTATATAATTATTATTACAAATAAAACATGAAAATAAAGCATTAATTCTTAATATTATTTTCTTCTCTCTATTCAGTTAGTTCCATGTTTTGTGCCAGTTATTCACTGGCAATGGAGGGCAATTGTCCCAAGGGGGGCAGTTGTCCAGGTGGCAGTCGTCGGGGAACAATTGTCCGGGGGATTGTCCAGGGGGCAGTTGTCCTGATACCGTGTTGTGGGGAGTGCTGGGAAGAGGGAGGGTAAATTTATGTTATTTCAGATGTGGTCTTTTCTCCCATTCGTAGAGGGAGGTGGAGAAGGACTTGTGGAGAGTCTCCGTAAAAGGGATCTTATCCAAAGGGAGTTTGGAAAAAATAAGTAATCACCTAGAATAACCGTTAAACATGGGAGAGGATACTTGGCACGGTGTAATAACTAACCTTGGGGTGAATCTTGACCCTGAGAGAGGCTCCTGGGAGGCGGGAAGGGAGGACCTGGTTGTCCTTCAGGTTGTAAGAGGCCTGGGCACCCTTTGTTATGTGGTAGAGTACTACCTTCTTCAGGGTCGCCCTGTCCCTCAGCACCGACCTGTTCAGGGCTGTCAACACTTCACACTCAATATTCTATATAGCCTTCAGGAGCTGATTACAGTGATGTGTGGTAAATAAAATTGTCAATATATAATACTGTATAGTATTCAAATGGTCTCTAGACCGGCAAATACTTTTTAACATTATGAAAGACGACAGGTCTGATGTAGGTAATTACAGGCCAGTTAGCATAATGTGTATTGTATCAAATTCTAGAGAGCAGTGTATGTTCAGGTGGAAAGAGATCTGTCAGTATAAATTTTTTACAGCTACCAATCAGGCTTAAGGGGCTCTCACTCAACTGACACCAGCCTGATCCATCTCGCTGACCATATCAGATCCCAGACAGCCCAGGGAGATTACACAGGTTTGGTAACGCTAGACTTGCAAAAATATAGATCCACGGAACGGTCTACCAACCCAAGCTGTTAAGTCACAAACGGTACTGGGTTTCAAATAACCCAAGATAAAGTTATCAAGAACAATGGCGGGGTCCTACACAGATCACTGGCCTCCTTCCCTCGACATGGCCACTTCTAGTGGGTGGCCATTAGGTAAATAAGGTTAAAATACAATACAGGGTAAGTAAATAATCAACAAATGATATGAAATAATATACTGTATTCTATTATTGTATAATTTACTTCTTTGATTATTATAATAATATATCATAGTTACATTCTCGAAGTTCACTCACAGTTCCCTTCACATAGCATCATAAAAACAAAACTAAACAATGTATTTTAACAAAAGCAAAACTAGAATAAATTATCAAAAAATGAAATATATATAGTTTCAATTTTGAGGGAAAATAATTTAGTGTTACATCAACAGACTTCATCACTCGTGCAAAAATCCTGGTGTTACTCTCTGCAAGACCTGCTGGCCTCTTATGATAACTTCTCAATCACCTTGGTTAGGCGACTGTATGTACAGTACAGGGTATATTCACAAACCACAACACTATATGCTTGTCCCTTCCTATTAAAAATTATATGACATAGTTTTCTGTGTTAATATATTTGATTACAGTTGTTTCTTCTTGTGATATCTGAAACTAATAATCTTAGCAAATCAATATCACGTTTCTGTATTTTGTAATATCAATGAAAGTTATTATGCTATTGGGTTAAATATTAAGTTGTTTTCTTAGTGTTAGCTTACAATATTTCATTGTATTACATTAAATTAATTATCAAGATGGTAGGTACTGACCTCTGAGAGCCTGGTTGGAGGGAGCAAAGACTGTGTAGGGACCGAAGGAGACAAGGTCTTTGAAGAGGCCGACCTTCCGCACTAGTTGAACGAACCTGGTGGCTCCTGCCCTACGAGCCACCTGCATCAGGCTCAATGCTGCCGGAGAGAAGGGAGTCTATAGTGTTTTCTCTCCCACTTCTCACTTGATCCATTCAAAGTAAAATGCCTTTGTAGCATCTCTATAAACATCTACAGCCTTACCAATTCACTGTTATGGAGCAGTTCTCAGTAAAAGTCAGACAATTTTAATCTCAAACCGAATCATGAATCTTTTCCTTCTAAATGTTTATAAATATCAAACACTCTTGGCGGCACACACCTAACGAGCACAATTATTTCTACACATACCATTATGCACTGTACCCAAGTACTGTATATACATGTACAGTATAGCCAAACACATTCACTACTTATCCTTAGATGGAACCATAAAGTGAGCTACATAATGCCTTTCCTTAAAACACATTCCAATAACAGAACTCTCCACTCACACACTCCTCGCCAAACACAAACTTTTCACCCACAACTCGCCCTCACTCACCCATGGGCGGGATTAGAACACGATCGATGTAATGTAAGACACCATTGGAAGTGATGACGTCTGCTGTGGTGATGGTGGCGCGCCCGACGGTAAGGGTGAGGGAGGCGCTGCAGCTAACAGGAAGAGAGCGGCCTTCTAGGGTGTTCAACCTCACCTTGGTCCTCAGCCCCAGGGAGCACTCCACACCATCCACAAGATGTTGCCGAGCTAGGGCTGTTGCGATATGGGAAGGTATTAGGGTTGTATCATAAAACCAGTGCCAGCATGAGGAAATAACCATTACCCAACACTAAGATAGTACACTGAGAGAAGACTTGACAGATGAAACTACGACCAGACTTCTGCAGTGGCGCTATGTAAGGAACGAACACTATGAGACCTAATGGATATCTGTCTTAAAATTGAACAGAACAATTTTATGGACTTTATCCCTCTACTCGAAGATATAGGATTCAGTTACCTACCGAAATAAAACATAACGCAAAGAATATCAAATTAAGGCACCAACACAACTCTCCACTAAACTTAAGAGGCAATTAGCTGTATGTGGAGAATGAAAAGCATAAACACCCTCCCAGTAAGACATACTGTACTGTGCCTTCGGGACTATCTGCTCAACCTTGAGTGATACAATGGCTGCTATTATCCCCAGAGATGGCAACATTATCGAAACCGTCGACCGACCTTACAGCACCTGGACCATACTGTATTCTATAAGACTTGCTTTATAACCTGTAATTTAGGTTTCTAACATTTTCAGGACCTTCATGCATACCTACAATGTTTGGAGACTGGGAAGAACTTACACACTTCCTAAAGATCTCCAGGGACCTCTAGGTGCATACCTTGGAGGGCGGGGGAGTACTTCATATCATAAGTGATGGAGTCGATAAAGCGTCTGGGGAGGAGATCGAAGGCGGCGTTGGTTGGGGCGAGGATGGTGAGAGGACTCGTCCGTCGCACCCAAGCCACCAGGTCAGCCTATAGGGTGAATAACCACCTTCAGTACAGGCCAGATACAATGTTGAAGGACAAACTGACAACTGTAACACAATGACTCACAACACTATGACTCGCACAACTTTATGACTCGCACAACTTTATGACTCGCACAACTTTATGACTCGCACAACTTTATGACTCGCACAACTTTATGACTCACACAACATTATGACTCACACAACATTATGACTCACACAGCATTATGACTCACGCAACATTATGACTCGCACAGCATTATGACTCACACACCATTATGACTCGCGCAGCATTATGACTCACACGGCATTATAACTCACATAGCATTATGACTCACACAGCATTATGTCTCGCACAGCATTATGACTCGTGCAACAATGACTCGTGCAACATTATGACTCGCGCAACATTATGAGTCACGCAACATTATGAGTTACGCAACATTATGAGTCACGCAACAGTATGACTCACACAGCATTATGACTCGTGCAACAATGACTCGTGCAACATTATGACTCACACAACATTATGACTCACACAGCATTATGACTCACACAGCATTATGACTCGTGCAACAATGACTCGTGCAACATTATGACTCGCGCAACATTATGAGTCACGCAACATTATGAGTCATGCAACATTATGACTCACACAGCATTATGACTCGCACAGCATTGACTCATGCAACAATGACTCACGCAACATTATGACTCACGCAACATTATGACTCACACAACATTATGACTCATGCAACATTATGACTCACGCAACATTATGACTCGTGCAACATTATGACTCCCGCAACATTATGACTCACGCAACATTATGACTCACACAGCATTATGATTCACACAACATTATGACTAACACAATATTATGACTCACAACATTATGACTCACAACCTTATGACTCACAACCTTATGACTCACACAACACAATTCATAAAATACCACGACTCACAAGTAATTCATATACAGTATTATGAATAACACAAGTGACTCACAAAACGGCGACTCACACATCATGACTCACAAAACCGCGACTCACACATCATGACTCGAAACATCAATTCACAGAAACGCAAGTGACTCACAAAACAGCGACTCACACATTATGGCTCAAAACGGTGACTTACACATCATGACTCAAAACCGACTCACACATCATGACTCACAAAACAACGACTCGCACATCATGACCAGAAACATCAATTCACAAACACAAGTGATTCACAAAATAGCGACTCACACACCATGGCTCAAAAAGGTGACTCACACATAACTCACAAAACGGCGACTCGTACATCATAAATCAAAACCGATTCACACATCATCATAACTCACAAAACAGCAACTCACATAAAACATAAGTGACTCACCAAACAGGGACTCAAACACATACAAGTGACTAACAAAACAACGACTCACATAAAACAGAAGTGACTCACCAAACAGGGACTCATACACATACAAGTGACTAACAAAACAACGACTCACATAAAACAGAAGTGACTCACATAGCCCAGAATGGTGAAGAACATGGTAAGTTTGGGGTCAGCTGAGACGAGGTCTGCCAAGGTCTTGGTGTAGGCCGGGGGGAGGGGCTTACTGATCACATGCACCACACCATCTCGCGCATGCACGTCCACACGATGCACCGCCACGCAGTTCAACAACACCATCTGTGGGGTAAGCGGGTCAAGGATCACCACTCAAAGGTCGGGTTACAAAAAATAAGGCAACTAGTGCGAGGCATATAGACCCAAAACTTGTTACAAAAAAGGGACATTGTAAGAAATAAAGATATGTTGCAAGAAATGAAGAAATGAAGGAACACTGTAATAAATGTGAGAAACTTACAAGAAATAAGGGAAGATTGCAACAATTATAGGAAGATCGCAAAACATGTAAGGAAACTGCCAGATATAAAGGGAGGTTGCAATAAGAGCAGGTTGCAATAATTAAAGTTTCTAGAAATAAAAAGATTGCCAAAAAATATGGCATAATTCCTAGATATAGGGGCAAATTGTAAGATATAAAGTGATATTGCAATAAATAAGGGCACGTTGCAAGATAAAACAAATTTTCAAGAAATAAGGACAGAGTGCGAGAAATACTTGATACTGCAACAATAGCAGGTTGCAAGAAATTTGGGCGATCGTAATTAGGGCAGGTGCCAGGTTGAAAAAAAAATAAGGATGTAAAATATCCGGAGGCACAAAACCAAACCATTCTAGAGGGTTGGTGGAGGTTATGATGCTTCACCAGAAACTTATGAAAACAAAAGACGGTCCAGAACACTACTGTACAGTGTTCGTGGTACTGTAGTGTGGTAGCAGAGGAAACACAGGGGCTCTCAAGAAACCCTTCCCTCCCCACCCTGCCCTGCCCTGTCCCGAAGTCCCATCACAACCTGCCCTGCCCTGTCCCTCCTGCCTAATCCCATCACAACCTGCCCTGCCCTGCCCCTTCCTCCCGAGTCCCATCAAAACCTGCCCCGCTTCATCCTCTTCTCCCTCACTCCTATCCCAACCTGCCCCGCCTTTCTACTCCGTGCCTGAGCATCACAGTACGAAGGTTAAACTGCGTTACTTGTGATATCAGGTAACGAGAGGCGGGTATTGGTGACCGGGAGAGCGTGGTTCCTCATACACGTCTGCCCGGGTCACTGTCACTTGTTAGGCGTAAACAGTATATGATAGAAAGCACTATACTGCCCGGGGACATATTGTGGAGTGTTCACGATATTGTGGCACTAAGGATGGTGGTGTAGTGGTGTGAGGGGTGGTGTGAGGGGTGGTGTGAGGGGTGGTGTGTGGGGTGGTGTAGGGGTGTGGGGGTAGGGTGTGTGTGGGTGTGTGGTGGGAGTGGTGTGAGGGGTGGTGTGTGGTGGGGTGGTGTGGGTGGTGTGAGGTGGTGTAGTGGGTGTGTGGGGGTGTGGTGTGGGGGTGTGTGGGGTGGTGTGTAGTGTGAGGGGTGGTGGTGGTGTGTGTGGTGTGTGGGTGGGTAGTGGTGTGAGGGGTGGTGTGTGGTGTGAGGGGTGGTGTAGTGGTGTGAGGTGGTGTAGTGGTGTGAGGGTGGTGTAGTGTGTGTGTGGGTGGTGTAGTGGTGTAGGGGTGGTGTAGTGGCATGAGGGTGGTGTGGTGGTGTGCAGGGGTGTGTGTGTGGGTGTGAGGGTGTGGTGGTGGTGTAGTGGTGGTGTAGGGGTGTGAGGAGGTGTGGTAGGGGTGTGTGGGTGGTGTAGTGGGGTGGTGTGGGGGTGTGAGGTGGTGTAGTGGTGACGGGTGTAGTGGTGGGGTGGGGTGGTGTGGGGTGGTGTAGGGGGGTGGGTGTGGGTGTGGTGTGTGGGGTGTGTGTGGGGTGGTGGTGTGGTGTGGGTGTAGTGGTGTGACAGGTGGTGGTGTGACGGATGGTGGGGGTGTGTGGGTGGTGTAGGGTGTGTGGTGGTGTGTGTGACAGGTGGTGTAGTGGTGTGACGGGTGGTGTAGTGGTGTGACGGTGGTGTAGTGGTGTGACGGGTGGTGGTGGTGTAGTGGGTGTGGGTGGAGGTGGTGGGGTGGTGTAGTGGTATGAGGGGTGGTGTAGTGGTATGAGGGGTGGTGTAGTGGTGGTGTTGGGCGTGAGTGGTGTAGTGGTGGTGTGGGGGGTGAGGGGTGTGTAGTGGTGTGACAGGTGGTGTAGTGGTGGTGTAGGGGTGTGAGGGGTGTAGGGGTGTGAGTGGGTGTGTGGGGTGGTGTGGGGTGTGGGTGGGGGTGTGTGGGTGGTGTAGGGTGTGACGGTGGTGTAGTGGTGTGACGGGTGTGTGTGGGGTGGTGTAGGGGTGGTGTGGGGTGTGTGGGTGGTGTGTGTGTGGGGTGTGTGTGGGGTGTGTGGTGTGGGTAGGGTGGTGGGTGTGACGGGTGGTGTAGTGGTGTGACGTGGTGTAGTGGTGTGACGATGGTGTAGGGGTGTGGGGGTGTGTGGGGTGGTGTAGGGGTGTGACGGTGGTGTGGTGTAGTGGTGTGATTGGTGTAATGGTGTGAGGGGTGGTGTAGGGGTGGTGTAGGGGTGGTGGGGGTGTGGGGTGGTGTAGGGGTGTGTGGGGGGTGTGTGGTGGAGGGGTGGTGTGTGGTGTGTGGGGGTGGTGTAGTGGTGTGAGTGGGGTGTGGTGGTGTGTGGTGTGTGTGGTGGTGTAGTGGTGTGTGTGGTGGTGTGGGGTGATGTAGGTGTGAGGGGTGGTTTAGTGGTGTGAGGGGTGGTGTAGTGGTATGAGGGGTGGTGTAGTGGTGGTGTCGGGGTGTGAGGGTGGTGTAGTGGTGGTGTGGTGTGAGGGGTGGTGTAGTGGTGTGACGGGTGGTGTAGTGGTGGTGTAGGGGTGTGAGGGGTGTGAGGGGTGGTGTAGTGGTGTGACGGGTGGTGTAGGGGTGTGAGAGGTGGTGTAGGGGTGTAAGAGGGGGACTTCTGGTGTCAGTGAATCAGCAGTACCGATACCACTAACCTTATTACTGAGTTTGGTGACGGTGAGGGGATGGTCTTCGAGGAGAGTGGGCAGGCGCTGTCCGTGGTGCAGCTGTGTGGTGGTCCAGCGGCGAGGAAGGACGTGGTACGGCAGAAGAGGTGGTCCGGTCCACCCCTCCACCTCCACTACCCGGCCCAACTCTGACCACGTCCGCTCCTCCAAGCTCCTGAAACCCTTTGTTAGTGTTAGTAGTGCAGGCAAGCGCAGATACACACAAGTACGAATGTTGACACAGATCTTAACAACAAAACAGTGTAAAGTGTGAGAGTAACAGGCGTGTTATTATCATTAAATTATTCTTACTATCACTACTACTTTTAGCATCATAAACATTGCCACTACGAATATTCTTATTAAAATCATCTTCAAAATTGATATTTATTTCAGTATAAACACACTGCTACCAGATTTGAAGAACCTCCACTCCTAAGTGTGCGTGTTGTCAGTGACTTTCTCACACTCACACACTTATTGTTGCTGGTGTGTGAGTACCTCATCAAGGGGGAGTAGTAGGGTGAAGGCTGAGGTGCGGGAGGTCAGGAGACGAGGCAGGAGATAACGGTGGATCATACTCAAGAAGCGGTCGCCGCCCCCCAGGTCACGACCCGTCGCCAACACGTCCTTGACATGTTTCACTGGCGGGATACAAACATACAGCAGTAGTAACTTGTGAGCATCTTCTATACGCCCTAACCCCTTGTGTACGGGGTCCTCTCTCTGCTGAATAAAACCGTCTAGTGTTGGCCAAATAAAACTTTAAAAGTGTCGTCCCCGTAGTGAAGGGGTTAATAATGGCTCTGAGGAATATATTTTACAGGTTGCACAATATTCCTGCCACTTACAAAAATATAATACTAATACTGTAATTCACTATGATAATAACTATCACAAATTTAAGAAGACATAATTTACAGTAAAACACACACACACACACACACACACACTTATATATTGTCCAAAACCAATACGGTATAAGTATATTGCCTTATTACACAACCAATTTGAAAATGTTAAAATTATAACCTTAATAATTTATTGCTATATGAATAAATAAAAGTATCTGAGAGTATGAGTGACCTTGAATTTGGCCAGAGGCTGTCAGCTCCTACTGATCAGTGGTACAGAACAGGGGTAGGTGAAGCAAAGTGAATACATCAGTCAGTCTGGTTTTCGGCATTCATAGAGCTACCTCACGCAGGTAAAATTACACACAAAAATATTAGATCGGAGTGAAATTTTTTTTAGCTGTGTAGGTTATATGCAGGTCTACCACATAACTTTATATTGGTATTTATAACCTGAAGTGGGGAGATAGAGCAAAAAAAATATTACGTTTCCGTAGCAAATTTATATTTTTCGATTTTTTTTTCTCGATATCACGTGATACTCCTGCTGATGCTGAGTTTTGAATTTTGCTTGGAATGGCTCGTCGCAAGATGTATTTTCTGTGCAACGAGTGTTCTTCGTCAGCTTGGAATACCATTCATCATCTTTGAAAATGAAGCCGCTCCTAATGATATTTTTAAGGCTTAATTTATGGTATTCTGCCAACTTTTGTGAAGGGCACAAACTGCAGTTCAGACTGCCACTATCCCCATGATAAGAACGTTTGGTTTTGTACTTAAAGACGAGAACTCGCCAAGACAAATAAATCTCTTCAGTGCGGCTTCTGCGTTTCTGCATTTACAGGCGGCGTCACACTGGCATTCTTTCGTCAATTCTTTTGTCAACTTTCAGAAAATCGTCAAACTTTTTGTTGCGCAGCTACCAAACAGGGAGGTACTACCGCCTGGGAAGATATTGGAAGCATAATGTATTGTGTAATGGTCGCATAATGTGTTGTCTAATGGTAGACCCTGCTGCTATATGGCATCACAAAGATTGTGACCAAGTCCCAGGTTACTCATCTGGCTTTCAGCCCCATTGACACAATTGCAGGGTCTCAATTGTTTCTCTTACTATTGACAACACAACAAATAAACAGCATATCGTTTCTCACTTTTGATCTCTTCTTCTTCTTCTTCTTCTTATTCTTATTCTTATTATTATTCTTATTATTATTATTATTGGTATCATTATTATTTTTATTGTATTATAAATTTTACTTTTTTGAATTTTTATTATTATCATTATTATTGTTACATTTTCGCCCCCCAGGCCCCGATGTGGGTCAGTGACCTGTGCCCGGGAAGGCTAATCCTATATATATATATATATATATATATATATATATATATATATATATATATATATATATATATATATAAGCGCGTTTAGAACCAGCTCGCCAGTTTCCCTCGTTCGACAACTGTTAATTAACAAAATGAATCCAACTGACGAAGAAAGCGCAGCAACTCTACGTGGTTTTTTTTTTCTTTTTTAGTGTATGAAGAGTCTTTTGTGATCTCAGCGACAGCGGCACTGCTTTATCTGGTCCATCAAGAACTCCTCGGAGAGGCGTGTCCATACTTGGGAAATTATTTTATCTGTTGGCTCCGTCATGTTGTTATTCCCGTGTGGTCAAAATGCAAACAACAAATGACATTTTCTTACCTTTTTAAAATCACGAAATTAAACATAATAATACGTAATCTTTGGAAGAAGAGTAATATTCACTTCATAATAATTTCAGCTTTATATTTTAAGTCAAAAATAGTATATTTTTTATCACTATTTGTATTATCCATTATAGATCTTCAGTTGACTCCGGTTAAGGGCACTTGGTTGTACAAGCAGCATCACTTTATCCTCCAGCATCTGATATTTAAGGTAAGGTTGGGTCCGGGTTTTGTTCTCGTGTTTTTACCCCACAATTTCCCTCTATTTCAAACCCCTGTCCACTTTGTCAATCAAAATTGTTGGTAGAGAGGGGGGGGGGCGGTATATCTCCAAAACGGCTCATTTCCGATTTTAGACGTCAGATTCGATTTAAACACCAGAAATACACTATAAAACCCTTTTCTTATTAGTATTTTCCATGGTAGACCTTTTAAGAAGTCTTTACCTACGGAAGTGCTGTATTTATAGTGACTTGTTAAAACACCCTGCAACATGAACACAAATACACACCCGCACACATCCACAGGGGAAAAAAATCCACATATTGACACAAACATAAAACAAAAATCCAGATCTAAACACACATTCACATCACTGCAACACTTGGCACAAACACAATACAGTAACACAATTATCCCGAAAGATGAGGAGGAACACTCACCAACAGGACAACCACGCTCGAGTGCAGCCACGGTGTACCCCTCACAACATTGCTGACGGAGGTTCCTGCCAATGTTTACTCCTTATTAACAGGGTCACAAACATACAAGTAATCATTACAGCAGGATACTTCTTATGGGGTCAAAATTCATCTATGTAGCCAATAGTCACGTGAGCTATTCCTCTAGTTCTGTGCTGTTGTGCAAGATGACTTTTTTTTCGTAATGTTGATGATTACATGAACCAGCAAATCCATCTAGCAAGGGGGGAAATGCTTTGCCTGTCTTAGTAATGTACTGGGTTAGGTTAGGTTAGGTTCAAATCAACCACACAGCCATTTTTCCAGGCTGAGGTATTGGGCCTAACCAAAAGGGTAAAACTATAAAGGAAAGTTATTTAATACCAAGATTTTTTTCAGAAGGGGAATTCCCGATAAGGGTAGCCATCAAGAAAATAATATAGATACACTTAAAACCACTGAAAAGTTATTTTTAAAAAGTACGTAGGTCTAGTTACAGATATATCATATAGTTGTTTTTTTTGGGGGGGCACCCCCCTACATCCTTGTGTAAGGTGAAGCACAGAGGCGTTTACAGCACCCAACAGGGAAGCATGCTAAGTTCATGCTCGCCTTTATGTCTCATGAGTTAAGGGCGTAGAAGCCTGAAGAGTCAAAGGTTTATGTCTAAGCAAGTTATTGGAAGCTCCAACAACTTTCCCTGAATACGAATTCGCAACTTTCGATTTACAGCAGGTACCTACTTTGCTGCTCGGTGAACAGGGACCAAGGGAGGCTGGGAAGTGTGTCCGAACAACTTTCCACCGGCCCGGGAATCGAACCAGTGACATCTCGCTTGCGAGGCAAGAGCGGTCATATACAGTTGTTAATATGTTTATGCGATCACTGCTGAATAGCCTGGCTGTCTATGTAGCCGTCCCAACTACGTAGACTACCAGGCTATTCAACCGGTGACGACTTCATAGCGTTGTTATGGCTGGTGTCTAGGAACGTGATTGGTATCTCGTCTTCTTGTATGTTCATGAAAAAACGATTACTGGAACCTGTTTGTGGGTTTACGAAGATTTAAGAGTTACTCACGTCGGATGGGTGCAGAAGCTACCATGGGTCCAGGGTAGCGGGAAGGTGAGGTTCAGAGCTGGAACCTCCTCCACCACACACACGTCACGCCTGAGAAGTAAATAAAGCGGGAGTGAGAAAGAATAGTAACTGCCTCACTATACACAGCATGCCTGGGAACTGGGGAGGGGGGGGGGTCCATACATGTCACGCCTGGCAGAGACAAGAGGGAGAGAACAATTCACCTCCACTACAGACAAATACTTGTGAAGGAGTGTTGGAAGGGGGAGAGAATGGCCCTGGTTAGCATAGGGTAACATAATCCTTGATAATTAATTACGTCAATTACCGAGTTATCTCAATAGCCAATTTACCTCCTCAGATCTGGTTAATAAAGTAGAGGGAGAGGTTACAACACTGGGGCTTCAGTAATATCAAGTCCCTTTAATTCCAACTAAGGGTATTCGGAGTAAACAAAAAGGCTACGTCATCATCCAGCGACGTTATCAAACCAAGTAACTATATTGTCACTGTTACTTCAAGAGAACGGTCACAAAACTAAGAAAAAAAATAGTAACCAAAAAGCAGTTTAATCTGAATAAATTAAATGTAACTGAAAACCAGCTACAAATAAACCTCATCTTTGAGACGATATGACAGAGTAAATCAGCATCATTACAACACCTGTCATAACTTAACCAAAAAACTACGGGACGGTCATATGGGTGCATAATTCTTACCCAATTGTTGAATTTGATAAGATAGACAAAATGTACTTCTTCAATTTATTCATTAAATTTCTAGACTGGTATCCAGTGCGTCTATATTTTCAGGAAAATATTTGGTAGTGACAAGGCTGGAGTCTGTCTCTTATATATTGGACGACAAAATCCCACCAAGAAATTTTCCACCCAGGTGGAATTATTTCCTGGGTGATGATGTCCAAATACTAAACAAGCGACCATATTTTTGTATTCATGAAACATCTAGGCTCGTAGATTTCATCCGCGTCCCTGCCAAGGCGTTAAGCGATTGTTGGTTTTACCACATCTAAAATATTGATACAGACTGAAGTTGGAGATAACCGTGCTTATTATTTATTTACACACACATAGATATTGGAATGCAAACTTTTCCGTACATACAAAAAAGCTATAGCGTGGTATTAGACCTGAAGTTATGGCAAGGAAGCAATACTCCAAGACTCAGTACCAAGAATATTATAATAGCCAGGTGATGAAACTGCCTCTAAGTATACCTGGGTTAACTGGAGCACACATCTAATAATAATAACACAGGCTGGAGCAATCAACAACTGCCCGTGAATCACCTATCGGCATCGCGTCATTAGACTGTCCAAAACAATAACAAGGTGTACGTACCCGGGTTTGTAGACTAGGCTGGGATTGGAGGTGAAATAGTAGGTGCCGCTGGGAGACAGGTGGTACCTCTTGACCGGCTGCTGCGTCCTGCTAGGTGGAGGAAGCAGCAGCAGCAACAGCAGCAGGAATGGTGAAGGGCGGCGTTGGAGCGGCATCTTGGCTACGCTAAGCCATATTGCCCGAAATCCAGCTACTCTGGGATTACAATGACATGATTAATAATAATTTTATTCTATAAACATTTAAGTTCAGAGCGCATTGTATAAAACACACTTAATACAATCTTGTATGATTCTATACTACATGTAAAGTATATTGTACATGTCACCTTGGCACCACTGAGAAGTCTAGTTATGCCACGATACTATTACCGCAAATATATTGATCCTCTCAATTTAAAACATAATTATCAGAAAAAAATACATCTGCTATGGATAAATAACATTTTTCGTTACACTAACTTTTTTCATATTTTTTAGTACCGAGTCACATATATATATATATATATATATATATATATATATATATATATATATATATATATATATATATATATATATATATATATATATATATATATATATACTGACTGGCCCATACAGGGCAGATCCTTTCACACCCATCCCAGCACTTCCATGTGCCTATCCAACTTCGTCTTGAAGCTCCCTAGCGTCCCCGATCCTACTATAGCACTCGGTAGCCTATTCCACATATCCACAACTCTATTACCAAACCAGTGCTTGCCATATCCTTTCTGAATCGGAATTTATCTAATTTAAAGCCATTTGTTCTAGTTATTTCGTTATTACTGAGCTTCAGAACATCTTCCATTTTACCCTTGTTAATCCCACTTACCCACTTGTACACCTCATCATATCTCCCCTAACTCTGCCTCTCTAATGAATGTAAGCCTAAGCTTTTCAGTCTTTCTTCATATGGAAGGTTTCTAATATTATGGATCATTTTTGTCATTCTTCTTTGTACTCTCTCCAAAGAATCTATGTCCATTCTATAATAAGGACACCAGAACTGAACCGCATAATCCATGTGTGGCCTCACTAATGCTAGGTAAAGTTTCAAGATAACGTCAGCAGTTCTGTTACTCACAGACCTACAGGTAGATATGAACCCAAGAATCCTGTTTGCCTTGTTGCGAACGCTAATACATTGTTTTCTAGGTTTCAAGTCGTTGCTAACAAATACACCTAATCTTTTTCACAAACTGAGTTTTCTATTTCCGTGTTACCTAGTTTATACTTAACGTTTGTATTCGTCTTCCCTATCTAGTACCTTGCATTTATCAGTATTAAAATTCATTTGCCAGTCTACTGACCACTCATGTAAGGTATCTAGATCTCTTTGAAGGTGTTCAAAGTCACTGTCTGAATTTATCACTCTCCCCATTTTGGTATCATCTGCAAATTTACTAATCCTACTAGTTATGCCTAAATCAAGATCATTAATGAATATAACAAACAGCAGAGGGCCTAATACATATATATACATATATATACATATACATATATATACATATACATATATATACATATACATATACATATATATACATATATATACATATACATATATATATATACATACATATATATATACATATATATATATATATATATATATATATATATATATATATATATATATATATATATATATATATATATATATATATATATATATATATATATATATATATATATATTTCCTTTTTATATTATTAAAGTTCGTCTTCTTGGCATGGACTGCTAACTTCATTAATAATCTCTAGGTGTCTCGTGTTGCCAACTTCCGTTTTATTTCATGCCAGGCATTTTCAGTTGAGTTGAGATCTGGCGAGTTCCAGGCCACTCCAGCAATGGAATATTCTTCTCACGAAGCCAGATTGTCAAAGTTCTTGCTTCGTGGCAGGAGGCACCATCATGCCTGAAATGGTGGTGTGGTGAACGTCATTAAAATTGGTAAATGATCTTGTAGTACCGTCTGGTAACGTTCATCCGACCGCATCACAAGTTTCCATTGTTCCTGGTATTACCTTGCAAAAGCAAAGCCGCTGACGACGCATTCGCTCTGTGAGAAGTAGTTTCCGTGAAGCTCCTTATATACAGTCACTGATGAACTGTCCGTTCTGATACGTTTTGCAGGAGGATGGGATGTTCTTTCTTCAAGTGTGATGCGGACTTGGATGGATTTTTCATTAATTTTCGGCCTCCTAGATGACGATTTTCTGGTCTAAATAACATTTGGGGTAAGATTTGGGGCCGCCCACTTTAGTTTTTAATAGTTGCTGCGCCACGCCCCCGTCTTCTCGAAATTTCGTCCACTGTCACCTTTTCCCCAACCAGGGCAAGGATGTGAGCCTTTTCTTGAACTTACATGTTTTTCGAACTTATGATGGCAGCGCTGAGGAAGAAATCGAGCTGATAATGAACACGTGCGAATTGTTAGTCAGTTTGAGGAGCAGAAACTGTAACTCTCCCTTTGACTGGGAACCTGTTTCTCGCCCACTATACCAGCTTCCCTCTGTGTGGGAAGACCCACTGAGCTGCCAGACGTACGAATTGTCCGCCGTGTTCAATTTGTGGCGAGTTGGATTTCAGATTTCAGCCATAACTCCCCCCCCTCCCCCAACTAATTGCGCAATAGGACAGCAACTAGTTTACTGTACACCCCATATACATCCTGTGAGCGATAGCCTAAAAACGATTACAGAGCAGAGGTCAAAGGGTGTTTATCAGCCCAGGATACTGTGGCGTTGAATGTTAAGAGTATTTCCAATACAGTACATAGAAGTTTACTTGGCTACTAGGTGCGAAATGTGGACAGTTTCAACATATCAGCTAATAAGTGCGTGGAACCAATCTCCTCTGACGATAGTCTTTTGTTCAACTTTTTGGAGGGTGTTTCAATCTGGGGGAAATGTTGGTCACACAGGCAACAAACGTGGTCCGATACACAATTGGTCGAGAAGATACATCAAGATCTATTCTGCTGCAAGATTGTACACCGGCACAGTATTCTCTCACAGTTCGAGAATACTGCATCTATAATAACTATAGGCGGTGTTGGTGGTACAGCGGTAACATCACGTGCGTATCTTTCACCAATATGCTGAGCCTCTAATGGTTCGATCCCCGCTTTGCCTGGACACGCGTGTGAAGGGTGTAATCTAGTGTGCCCAAGGTGACCCTACCAAACATGAAACATCACAGGTTTCCCGCACTCCAGTTTCCTCCTTTACTTACACTGTAAAGACTAAGTGGCCAACTGCCCGAACGACTAATAAGTGATGAAAATTATAAAGCAAAAATAATCATTGGACGAGAGAATAAACTAGGGTTTGATGTGGCCTGGCCACACTTGTCAACAGGCGATAGTTCATTATGGAATGTTGAGAACCTAAAAAACAATTGACAGATTTTTTATTTTATGAAATTTATCATTTAAGAGCGAAGAAACTGCCCTTAAAGAACATATACACGGTCCAAACACGGCATATACCATCATACTGAGTACGGAAGGAAACATACAAAGGGCAGTAATGTGGCTACAAAAGGACTGTGCCCACCTTGTAATAAACAATACTCAACAATACTGTATTTTACACTAGGTTTGTTCGGTTTAGTTTTGCCATCATAAATTAAGGCACTTATTTTCAAAACAACAAAGAAAAACTTGATAATCGTGAAATACAACACAAAGAAAAAGTAGATTAAATAATAAAAAAAGCAAGATCATGAAAATAATAGTTCACCATAACGCCACAGGATAATCTTTCACACCAAAGACCTTTCGGCTGTTTTTAATAACTTCCCGCCGCCTCACCTTAAATGTCCAAAGTCTTCTGTTTCACACTAGGTCAACCCAAAATAAACGAATGACGCACTATATTTTCAGGCCAGGAAGTTGTTAATCTTGCACGATAAACTTCCCCTCCACTGCATATTTCCTCAATTAGGCTCAGCGTGGCTTTAGTCTTATCCGAGATCACTTCAAGCTGTTTCTGTTCTATACCGAGGCAGTGTGAGTGATACCCCTTGACAACAGCGACACATCAAGTACCAATAGTGTGTTCTGCAGTAAAACAGAACCCGTCTTATAACCAGCACAAGAGGATATAATAACTTCACGTCTCCCCCTCATTTCCTTGGCCCCAATTATCCTCCATTCCTCTCTCTCGCCTCTCCTCACACACTATCCCCTCCCTCCTCCCCAGCATGTATCTCCTCCTAGCTAAGACATGACCCTGAGGATGAACTTGTGTGGTGTAGTGAGTGACGGGGTTTGTCCCTCCTCACTTACCACCAGGACCTTTACATGGGCATGCCGCGATGTTGATGTTTGATTGTATTACTGGAGAGGTTTTATCCGTGCACCGATGCGCCCATAATCTACCACCAGACAATTCCCCCACAAGATAAAGTCCCTCACAGACAACTTGACTTCGAACAAAAAAACCGTGGAGAGAATCCCTTTAACCTAACCTACCAGCATAATAGTGGACAAAATGTCCTAAAACCGTGTTGAGTGGTGAGCGAATTCCTGGTGTCATGATGTGTCCAGATCGTCACTCAGCAAAGCGACTTCCTGAATAACCTACGAGTATCAGGGTGAGTGACAGACGCATCCCTGTTGTGTTGGTGTAAGTGTACAGACCGTCACTCATCAGTGGGACCTCCTGAGGGTAATGTGGGAGGTGAATAAATTCCTTTTGTAGCGACCAGCAGGGGATCAGGGGAGACAGCCTCAAGCCCTCGCCGCCTTAAAAGTTTATCCTTAGAGATATCTACTGATTTGATGAGTGAGAGAGTGTGTGTGTGTGTTAGTGTGCGCCTGTGTGTATGTGTTGCGGTGTAGGTGTGAGTGGGCAGCGGGGGAGGGAAGGAGCCAGGTGGATACACAATCAGGCTCAACCCGCCTGCAGCGTCTCCTAGCTCTCCCTCTCTCAGTCACACTGCCATTTCTAAGCAATGGATTCACCCAATTATTGAGGTATTCACGATGGTGAAGCACTTGACATGTGACTGGTGGATGTTAACGTACACAAAGACATCAATCAGGAGCCTCAGTATAGTAAACACACCTCTCTGTCAACTTACGCATTAAATAACTGTACACCCAAACGTTTGTTACTAAACATAAATATAATCAAAAGTGGAGGACCGATAAAATGGTCACACAACAAGACGTATTTTAAGATTCATCTAAAAGACATTAAGAAACTAAGAATAATTATGTTCATAGTTCATACCTATATAACCCTAAGCTCATCTACCTAAGCCTACTATATTAACCTCAGTGTGCCTGTGAAGACATACTTATTACAATCCAGTTGTCATGGTTTTAAATAGCTCGGTGATATATGAGTGGATTATATTATATAAAGATAATAATATGTCGTATTTCATATTTCTTACCGTAGTGTTCGATACCTTCACACTGGTTACTTACAGGAGATTATGGCGTATCTACGTAGAAGTTCACTCCACCACTCGACATTCCATGATTTATACTTGATAAATGATGATTTAATGAATTCCATTAATTCCAACATCTATCTCAGTTACTGGTTATACTTTGTCATAACCAATCAGTCATTACCTTCAGTAATAATAAGATAGGATCACAGATACGGGCAGATAATTGCACTTACATTTATTTGTCAAGCTTCCATACAATGATTTACAATTTGCATGGATATATGAATCACTCACGTTCACGCTGTAATAAAATTAATCTTCTAAAAGATAATTTCAACTTGGGGACACATGTGATTACTCTACTATGGGTATGACCTAACAGAGTCTTAATTCTTCAAGTGATACATTTACTGCCAGCCTGGATTGCTTTTGTTGCAACCAGGCTTCCGCACAAGAACTTCTTTCCACGGCCATAACAACAAAAAGTACCCCTGGGTTGCCACACATAGTCTCGCGTCACTGACAGTCACTGTAGACGGTTGTCGTGGCAAGGAGAACTGGTAAGCGTGACTTGAATTAACCATTTAGGTGCAATAGACCAGCCTGGATTGCTTTTGTTGCAACCAGGCATCCACACGTGATATTTCCACTGGGATAACAAACCTAGGTTAACACACTTAGTCTCGTGTCGATCACGGTCACTGTAGACAGGTGTCGTGCAGTAGAACTCTGTAAGCGTGAATTAATTAACCATTTACTGTAGGTTTGATAGGCCAGCCTGGATTGCTCGTCGCAACCAGGCATCCACACGTGATATTTCCACGTGGATAACAACCTAGGTTAACACGCTTAGTCTCGTGTCGACGACGGTTCACAGGACGGAGTGGCGTTGGAGGACTCTGTGTGGTGTGGTTTCCCGCCCCCATTCAGGAGGGAGAGGATGGAGACGACGTCTTAACTATGCCATGGCTCAGGGGATACTACTTAAAATGAGGTTTTTGGGTGTGAAGCGATGAACAGTACAACACTGTTTCACTGCCCACTCCCCCCTAAAGGCTGGCTAACATACACTAATTGAAAATACATGTCCCAGTTATGCCTCGCCGGGCGTCTTATCTCTAGTAAAACAAACTTTGGAGTTGGTTGCGTGGGTAAGCCTAACGCAACCCATGACAATCGCCCCTACCAAGAAAAATTTTTCTTCGGAGAATAAAAATTTCAGCACCTGTATACAATCAAGAGAATGCCTAGCCCAGACACAATTCAACATTCACACTGTGGTGTGTGTGTGTGACACTAACACTGCAACGGGATGTAGTCGCCAATCGCCACTGAGGGAAACCTCAACATTTACTTTAGATTTTCAGGCTGGAGGAAAACTCCGAGGCGAGGGTGACAATTCCCGAGCAACAGTTCATGCTAAGCGTAAACACGCTACATTTATGTTACAGCAACGTGTTGTGTAGTGTAGGGTATGTAGACATTGTTTAGGTGGTACAGGTGTCGTGTTATGTTCTTAAGTGTAGAGAGGTGTGAAAAGGTTTACATAACATTTGAAGAGTCGTCAGATGCGTGGAGGTTCGAGTTGACCGGAACATATGGACATTCCCACACATAGGTCAGGTCCTAGACACGCTCTGCAATGTCCAATGAACTTCCCCCGGTGGGTGAAGAGAAGGATTCCTTCAGCCGGCTGATGTGGAACTGGGTCCCTCTGTCGCTGAGGAACCCCAAGGTGAGGGTGTACTCTGCCCATCACTCACCCTTGGGTGTGCAGTCCACCGCCTCCTACTGAATCAGCTGGCTGATGTGGAACTGGGTTTGCTGACCACAATGTTCGCCGTCACCCTCTCAAGGGTTCGGGGATCACTGTGAGAGGCCACAGGGGTGCAGGTAGAACTCGCCCTCCGTCGCTGGTTCTGGCAAACATCACAAGTCCTCTTCTGTTTCTTTATTTTCCACCTTTAACTTCAGATTCACAATTTCTTAGGGTCCCCTCAAATGTACTAGTAATCATTTCGTAGTACAATATACGCGTTTGCACAAGCAGCTGACAAGAGTGCAATTATCCGCGGTCTGTGTCCCTGTTCGGGCGCCAATTGTCATGGTTTTAAATAGCTCGGTGGTATATGAGTGGATTATATTATATAAAGATAATAATATGTCGTATTTCTTATTTCTTACCGTAGAGTTCGATACCTTCACACTGGTTACTTACAGGAGATTATGGTGTATCTACGTAGAAGTTCACTCCACCACTCGACATTCCATGATTTATACTTGATAAATGATGATTTAATGAATTCCATTAATTCCAACATCTATCTCAGTTATTGGTTATACTTTGTCATAACCAATCAGTCATTACCTTCAGTAATAATAAGATAGGATCACAGATACGGGCAGATAATTGCACTTACATTTATTTGTCAAGCTTCCATACAATGATTTACAATTTGCATGGATATATGAATCACTCACGTTCACGCTGTAATAAAATTAATCTTCTAAAAGATAATTTCAACTTGGGGACACATGTGATTACTCTACTATGGGTATGACCTAACAGAGTCTTAATTCTTCAAGTGATACATTTACTGCCAGCCTGGATTGCTGTCATGGGTTGCGTTAGGCTTACCCACACAACCAACTCCAAAGTTTGTTTTACTAGAGATAAGACGCCCGGCGAGGCATAACTGGGACATGAATTTTCAATTAGTGTATGTTAGCCAGCCTTTAGGGGGGAGTGGGCAGTGAAACAGTGTTGTACTGTTCATCGCTTCACACCCAAAAACCTCATTTTAAGTAGTATCCCCTGAGCCATGGCATAGTTAAGACGTCGTCTCCATCCTCTCCCTCCTGAATGGGGGCGGGAAACCACACCACACAGAGTCCTCCAACGCCACTCCGTCCTGTGAACCGTCGTCGACACGAGACTAAGCGTGTTAACCTAGGTTGTTATCCCCGTGGAAATATCACGTGTGGATGCCTGGTTGCGACAAGAGCAATCCAGGCTCACCCAGCAGCGCCCTCACCCCTATCAAACTAACTACTGCCCAGATTTATCATCAGTTAATTGTTTTACAGCGTTCAGCATCTGACCCCACCAGTGGTCACCTCCCTCCCCCACATCACTCCGCTCAACAACTACAAATAAGTTCACATTAATTTTTCCAAGGATTATATATATATATATATATATATATATATATATATATATATATATATATATATATATATATATATATATATATATATATATATATATATATATATATATATATATATATATATATTCATATATATATATATATATACATATATATATATATATATACACATATATATATATACATATATATATATAAAGAGAGAGAGAGAGGAAACTGACAATAAGTATCACCACTGGAAAAAAATCAAGACTACTCGTATGCCAGGCGAGCGGAAAAGTAACGATGCCAACTGCAAGAATTCAGTTATTTTCATATCGTAATATCTTATTTATTCAAATTCTTAAGACCACGACTTATGTTAGGCAAGCTCTCCTTACTCAATACACCATCATCATTAAATGATGTCAAACATCAGCCATGGGTGAATAAAACTCATATCACGTGACGTGTACACACACACACACACACACACACACACACACACACACACACACACACACACACACACACACACACACACACACTTTCAAATGCTGAGAAAAAACTAAATTTGTATTCATTTCCTCGCTTACTCACTTTAGTTATTTCTTGCCGGTATTTTGTCACAATGGCATGTTAATCTTTAACAGTTTGCTTGTGAATATCCTCGTTCAACTTTCTATTTATCATCATTTGTACAGTAAACTGTACCTGCATTGTCCTGTATATGCTGCACCAATATGAACTTTTATGAAGAATTTACTGAAAGCATGTCAACAATCTATCCGTCCATCCAATCAGTTATGTATCCCAATCCGTCTATGTATGTATCTGCTTTAATGTTTTATACTCTACATTGGTTTTTCACCTTACTAAACGGCGGCAAAATTTACGTCGGGAATTACGAGTACTTTCCTTAAAAATTCAATAGTTGTTGACTACTATTATGGACATAGAGAGAGTACCTGCTTAGAGTTTAGTTACCGAGACACCCAGTTCATAAACAACAATAACAGCGAGAGCAACATCAACACCCACGTCGCCAGATTCAATTTAGCAGCGCCTCCCGAGTACACTACGCTATCTATAGTTCTCTCGTTTTGCTCTTTCTCAACCCACGTGCATTATCTGCTTCATTCACTTGTCCACATTATAAATTTACTCTATCCCTCATTATTTTGTTTATAAATGCCTGTTATTATTCTATAGTCCTCCTGCCATAGCCTCATTTCTCACTGTGGTCATCGTAAAACTAGCTCTTCTACAGTATTTGTCTGTCGAGGTGAGATATATATATATATATATATATATATATATAATCAAACTGTACTCCAAGCTTTGTCAATAAATTTGTTAAACTAAACTAACCGCATTCACATCTGAGAGAGAGTAAGAGAGAGAGCGGAGAGCTCCGTCAACACCACTAATGGCCGCGTCACACATACGTCCAACACTCATAACAACCTTTGATTTATGGCTCCCTACAT